TGGGTTTTGTTTTTTTGATGATGATGAAGAACCCAATAAGGGTAGAGATTGATTAAGGTGAATAAATTGGTTGAGTTAGAGATTTGCAGAAGTTGAGGGTTCCCATCGACTCACGCCTGGGTTCTTTGGAACCCAATGCTTGGGTTTTGAAGAACCCAGCACACCTAAGTTTGTTGGAACTCAGATGCGGGTTCTATACAACCCAGTGACAAAAAATTTTTTTAAAATTTTTTTTTTTTTTTTTTTTTGGTTTTCTGTCGGTTTTGTTGCTTGATAATGATAAAGAACTTAGAATGTAGAGATTGATTGAGGTGAATAGATTGGTTGAGATGTTAGAGATTTGCTGAAATTGAGAGTTTCATCAAACCCACACACTGGGTTCGTTCAAACCCATGGTTGATTGGGTAAATAGATTGGTTGAGATGTTAGAGATTTGCAAAAGTTGAAGAAAGGGTTGAAGAAGGGAAGAGGAAAGTGAGGAACGAAAAAAAAAAAAAATAAATTGTTGGGGTAGAATTTCAGGGGTGCAAGTTGGACTTGCCAACGTGTAAAAAAATCTGAGTTGGCATGAACACGTCAATAGATGACGGAGATTAACGATGCACTTAGCCCACATGACCCTTCTGACGTTAAATTTTGTTTTATTTCCCTGAACTCGAAAACATGAAGAATAAAAAATCATATATTCAAAAATATAAAGGATAAAAAATTATATATTGTAATATGAGGGTAAAATGCCTCAAATTCAAAAAGTTGAAGGGCAACTGGGTACCTTTTGCCGGCTATTGTATGATACAATTTGGGAGCATTTGGGAGCGTATAAGAGTTTTAATAGAAATTAGACCTAAAAGGGCGCCAGATCATTTACAGTAGTAAGAAGAAATGTCAGAATTTTGCGTCCATGATGTAGATTATTTAAATAAAATTCTAATAATTTATTTTTTTTATTATAAATAATTAAAATTTATTTATTTTTATTATAATTATTCGTAAAAATATGCCATTTAAGTTATTATAAATCTCTTATAAAAAGATAAATGTTTTAAAATTTATATAAATAACATGTATAAGGAGTAAAGAACAATGTATAAGTCAATTCCAACTTATATATATCCCAACTCTATATACATTTGCAGTAGTTTTAGACATCATAATCAAATGGGTATTACATGCAGTACAGTCAGAAGGAAAACGGTACCTTCAAAGTGATTCCATGATCTAGAGTAACAGTGAATAGCACCATCGACGTCCCCAGGAATTTGATCGACATGAACAATCTGAATGCTGTTGAATGAGGAAGACACTGCATTATCGAAAGTTGATCAGAGCATTTTTTAAAGGGTTTATGTGAAGATGGTGTCTTCAAATCAAGGGACTGTTTGGGTCGAACCGTGAGCAGAGAGGAGATTGACCAAACTCAGTTTCTATTCCTAATGACAAATCACCAAAACCAAATGGATTCTCATCTATTTTTACAAGGTCACTTAGGATTGGGTGGTGATAAAAGAAAATGTCTATGTTGCCATTTTGGATATTTCCTCTCTAATTGGTAAGTTGCTAGGCAAGATTAACTCTACCACATTACCTTGCCTCCAAAAACTAACAGCAGCGCAGGATTTGAGATAGTCTGCAATAAATTGCTTGTCGTGTCCAAAACCTGTAAAAGACCGTATTTAGAATCTTCTTTTGCGTTGAAGGGAATGGATGGGAGGGGAAAAATTCTTCCATTTTGTTATTAAAATAATTGGAGGGGAGATGAAGAGAATGAAAAGATACAATTCCCCTTTCTTCCCTTCCTCTCTCTCTCAATTCTTTTCAATCTAACAGAAAGTAAATCCTCCATTTAGAATTCAGATAGTAAGTATTGGAAATTCATATACCAGTCTGTAATGCAACCCAACTAAAGATAAATGTGTTTCCCTATCCAACGAAGGGAAATAGAAGGTGGTCCATTTACCTAACAAATACAGAAAAATCTAGTACATACAATCGGAGGCATTATCCAAAGCAATTTCTAGTTTTTTTTTTTTTTTTTTTATTATCCAAAGCAATTTCTAGTTTTTTTTTTTTTTTTTGATAAGTACAATTATTAGTAGGTTAATATTGTTAAATGTTAATAATTAAAGATTTGATCCCAAATTAAGTGAACAACCACCAACTTCAATAAAGCGCGCGATTATTAGACCGCTTGATGAAATTCAAGCAATTTCTAGTTTGTACAACTTAATTGATGCCGTGTATGAATTACTTTTTTGAAATTGATGCAATTTAACCATAAAGCAGATTTCTTTTTCAGTAAAAAACTGACTCTTCTTGATGACCTCTAAGTTGTTTCTTGATAAGCTTACCAGCTATGACAGTCATTGCTGAAGCAGTAACCCCTAGACCTAAAGCATAATTCTCCTTTGACATAAAGTCCGTGGCAACAACAGTCACTGGCTGTATGTTTTCCCAAGTATTCCTTATTTTTCAGTCATACTTTAAATAAACTAATCAACAAACACTGCTGCAATGAAGTTAAATTGCATTTCGACAACTTGCTCTTTAAGTGTAAAGGGATCATTACGATAATTCCTCAGTTAAAAACAAAAGATGTGAAGGATTTTGTTGAAAATTTTAGTTAATGTGCTTTGGCAAGAGACGGTTTTTATTGGAGAGAGTGTAGATACAGGGCAGTTGGTTGAGAAAATTTGAAAGTCTTATTTGTTGTTAACTTGAGTTTAGTCAGGTCAAGGAAGGCGTGAGAGCCTGGCTATGCCTAGAATAATTACCTAGGTTAATGGCACTCTAATATTGCTTGGGGATGTGTGGGAACAAACAGAGAAAGAGAGGAATATATAAGTGACCAACTGGAGGTGCTGAAAAAGTTGATCTTTGTGTATGCATACATGTTCATCCTAGACCATAGACCATGATATCTATGAATAGCTATCTAATCAATCATAATTCATTGCAAGAGATGGAGTGGCGATACTGATCTTTGAACCTTCGCTAACCATCCATTTTTCTCAAACTAAACAACGAATATTGTTTTGAAACTTGAATGCCCAACTTCATATGAATATGTCTCTTCTTCCTTTGCTTTGCTCATACACATGTTCTTCATACGTACAGATGGATAACTGAATCAACTCAAACTTCCAACGACAGATTAAAATATGATACAGGTTAATATATGAACCAACTCAAGTTTTCTAAAGAAAAATACATAACATGATAAAGGAAGCTAAATGGAAACGCTATGGGATAATAACTGTAAAACCTTCCTGGATGGAATCACCAAAATTTATTGCACCAATACTAATGAATGAAACTACATTCTAAAAGAAAAAGATCTGATCAACACATACTGATGAATGTTCATAAATCACATTCTAAAAGAAAGATATTAAGACCAATCTTCCTAAACCATTCACAATAAGCCCCGCAAATAAAGGGAAAAGGCTAATAACTTAAGAAACAGAAGAGGCATGGCGCCTCCCTAAAGTGAAAGTGCAATTGAACCCAAATATCTAATCAATCTTCCCAAACCATTCACAATAAATCACATTCTAAGTGCATAAAGCCAACTCATAATACAAATCTATAAGCAGCCTAACAAAAAACAACATTGACTTGGGGGTTCCCAATATCTAACCAATCTTCACACTGGCAAAGAAAACGGACAGAAAACCATCAAACATCTCCAGACTGTGCACCTTTGAAATAAACTGAAATCAACAACAATGACAGTGAAATAAAAGCAACACCCATTGAGCAAAGAGGACCACTCAGGCCAACTGGTACAGAATCAGCCTTAACTTAGACTTATCCACACCACATCTATGCTCCAGACATCTGTGAAGACAAAACATTGCAATATCACCGTAAACAGAATTTTGACAATGAAACAGCTGGCAGAATCACACAGCACCAACCTCCTTGAAAGAAGCATCAATTTAATTGAAGACAAAACTGAAATGGCAAGGCAAAAGAATAATGTTTGCGAAGACAAAATATCAGACATGCCAGTTTAGTTTGCAATTAATTTTTGCTTGCAATTAAAGGAACAAAAATTATCCATTCCTTCAACATCCAAACTTACTTGCTGAAACTACATAGAATTCCTGTTTACAGATAAGAAGAATGGCAAGCAGAATGGCTCCATCACTCTCATTACAACTTACATCACCTGAAAAAACACCCTTGAGCCTCAACACATCCACCCCAGTTTATTAAAACTAAACCAATACCTTACTCTTCACACCCCCAGCCCAAGGACTCTACATTAACACAGCCTCTTCTATCATTAGCCACTCCCCAAAATAAATAGGATGATAACATTAGATGAAATGAACTTAAAAGTAAATAATAACACTAATAAAATTAGAATTCAGCGATTGAATTGAATTCATCTACCCAGGGAGACCAAGCTCTCCACATATGGACTCACAGGCCACGAATCCATAAGGGGATTGCCAATTTTTGCAACCTTCTTAACTGATTGGTCGTCAGGGTCATACAGGGCGTATTCATATCTTGAATGCCAATAAATCAAAACTTTCCTGTTTCCAGTAAAACAGACTGCAGTCATCACATCCCGGTTCATCGGATCAATTAAGGGGGTGTTGAAGTTGCCATCAGTACTATTAACTCTGAACAATTTAATCCAAGATTTGGCACTTTTCACCACATTTTCCTCCATCATCCACACGTCATAGATAACCTCATCGTCAGACACTATCAGACAAAGAGACTCTCCAGAGAGATCCAAGCCAATAAACGCTTTAGATTCATTGGTGGATAGAATCCAGCTTACAGATTCCTCTTCTCTCAGTATATCTGTGCTCAAATCAAGAGTTACAATTCCACCATTAGACCGTCCTTCACAACTAATAAGCCAGTAAATGCAGCCATTGAAATGTTTCGCATCTGTAGCAACACCTAATAGAACAAACGAGTACTCCACATCACATTGAACAGTTTTCCATAAACCCGTCTTTCAGGCTCAAGCTCAGGATCTTACCTAGTTTCTTTGCAAATGCAGGAGTTGTGGCTACTACGAGCTTGTAATCATTGCTTACCGAATCATAACCAAACCCGAATAGTTGAATATCCTTCGGACAACGTTGCGGCATAGGACATCTCCTCTGTTCCATTGTTAAAGGGTTCCAAACAACGATGCTGCTCCTGTTGGTTTCCTTGGAATATAAGTGCGCAGACACAAGGCCGTTGCAGTGCCCTAAGAAACCTGAAATTTCCTCGGAAGGCTGCAACTGGAGGTGGTTGGTTTCCAGGAGTCGAAAGCGAATCCCATCAACGTTGTCCCCTAAAGTGCCAATGGCAAAGTTTGTATCTTTAATACATTGGATGATAAATTCCTGGCGAGTGCGTACCGAAGTCTGGATTTTGAGATGTCTTGTGATGAATTGTTGATTGGAAAGTAGAAAAAACCACTGCTTGGATACGCATCTGAATCGAAGCAGAGAATTTCCTCAATAAGATCCGTAGGGAATTGGATTTCCTTCGCCGTATCTGAATTACGATTAGTTCGGCAATGCAGGAGTCTTCCGTCGACCAAGGTTAAGGGGTTAGGATTAGGGTTTGGGGTAGTTAGAGGGGTTTTTTTCCTTCCTTTGGGGGTGAAGGAAGGGGAATAGCAGATGGTTGTGCCAATTTCTGCAGTAAAATTGGTTCGGCGTTGTTTAAGTTTCGGATTAGGGTTTGGGGGAGTTGCGGGTTCTTTTCTACTTGTCGATTGGGGGAAGGGATTGCTGTTGCCTGCAGACATCTTTAAGGTGTTTTTCATTAGGAGACTGCACGTTTTTTTTTTTTTTTTTAGTTTAAATATTAAAATTATCGTAATATCATTAATAAATAAATATAAAAAGCACTCATTAAACATATTTTTGGTAATTTTAATATAAATTACACAAAAAAGTGTGGCAAAAGGTGCAGATAACCCCCTCAACTCAATAACTGGTGGCAAATCACCCCCTCAACCCACTTCACGCGAAAATCACCCCCTCAACTCACCTGTAGTGACAAATCACCCCCTTAACTCACCTGGCACCATCCTTCCCGTTGCAACTCGAGTCCTTGAATCTGTACAGTAATGGGCTCGAAGGGGCTTTACCAGAGAGCATTGCTAGTTTAAAACTACTGCACGAACTCAAATTGTTTAACACCAAACTCAGTGGGTCTTTGCCGAGTCAACTTGGTGAAAACTCGCCATTGCAGCTCCTGGATTTATCTTATAATCAATTTTCTGGTATAATTCCTGAGAATTTGTGTGCAAAGGGAAAGTTAGAGGATCTTTTTTTATGTACAATTCATTTTCCGGTGAAATTTTGGTGAGTCTGGGGAAATGCAAAAGCCTTCTCCGGGTCAGACTGAAGCACAATGGGTTAACAGGTGGAGTCCCAGACAACTTCTGGGGGCTGCGCAGAGTATATTTGCTTGAGCTCGATGAGAATTTGCTTAGTGGGTAGGTTTCCCCAAACATTTCTAATGTTCATAATCTGTCAATACTGTTGATTTTTGGGAATCAGTTTTTCGGGCCAATACCAGATGAGATTGGATTGCGGGGCAATTTGGTGGTGTTCTCTGGGAGTGATAATAGTTTCACCGGTCGGATTCCGGCTTCCATGGTGAAATTGAGGCAGTTGGATAGACTTGATCTTAGTAAAAATGAGCTCACTAAGGGTATTCTTGAAGGAATTAGTAAGTGGGTAAACTTGAATGAGTTAAATTTGGCTAACAATAGGTTATCTGGTAGAATTCCCAGTGAAATAGGTAGCTTGCTTGTACTTAATTATCTTGATCTTTTTAGGAATTTATTTTCTGGGAAAGTGCCTATTGAGTTGCAGAATTTGAAGCTCAATTTGCTTAATTTGTCGAATAACCAGCTTTCTGCAGAGCTCCCTCCTCTTTATGCTAGCGAAATATACAGCAAGAGCTTCTTGGGCAACTCGGGATTGTGTGGTGATATAGTTGGTCTTTGTCCAGATACTAGTAGATCTAAGAACCGACAGTATCTATGGATTCTTAGATCAATTTTTATACTTGCTGGTGTGGTTTTTGTTGTGGACTGTTAGAAGCTAACGGAAGGATGGTGCCGGTGTTAACAGAGGGAGTGATTTGCCACTGCAAGTGAGTTGAGGGGGTGATTTGCGTGTGAAGTGGGTTTGGGGGGTGATTTGCCACTAGTTGTTGAGTTGAGGGGGTGATTTGCACCTTTTGCAGTCTATATTAAGCAGTATTATTGATATCCCAAAATATTTGATCAACATGAATACTCTCTTTAGATTAAATCATTTAAGACAATAAAATATAGATTGCAACCAACATCACCTTAGTGTATATTGATACAGGGAAATTTTAAACTACTGATTGAAAAAGATACTTCATGTGAGTTATTCTAACTTATTTATTGAGTGAGGAAGACACCGCCCTATTGAAAGTTGATCAGGGCATTTTTCAAAGGATTTTTATCAAAATGGGGTACTTAGATCAGGGGGTTAGTTGAGTCGACCTGTGAGCAGGGTAGAAATTGACCAGCCTTGTTTCCAATTCCTAATAATGACAAATCACCAGGACCAGATGAATTCTTATCTCGGTTTCCAAGACCACTTAGGAGGTTATAAAAAGAGGATGTTTATGCTGCCATTCTGGATAGTTTCTTCTAACAGGTATGTTGCCAGGGAAGATTAACTCTACCAACATTACCTTCATTCTGCCCTTGTTGATGACTATAAACCTATTATTGTAATGTCATTTATAAAGTGACAGCAAAGATTATATCACTAATAAGGTGCAACTGGTTTTGGGAGGTTTGATTAGTAGCTGTCCTTGGAGAAGGGTAGGACCTTGTAAGAAATTAATATGGCAAAAATAAATCCCTGTGTTACTTGCATGGTTAAAATAAATTTAAAAAGTCAACAACTTAATAATTTAATAGTAATTTTTTAATAAAAATATGAGTTTTTTAGTTTAAATCACATGGTACTTGAATGAAATAAATTAATAGATGTAAGAGAATTATCTTTTATTTTACAACCTAACTTAAGATAAAAATAATAATAATAATAATAATAGAAAGGACTATGATACTTGTAGATTGGGACTTTATTCAATAAGTGCTGAGAGGCTCACACTTTACAGACATTAATCTAATGGATTGAGGTGTGTCTGTCATCACCTAAATTCTCCATTATTATGGCCATGCTTATCTGAGTGAAGGAAAATAACCTTATCCCAGCATGACTAACAGGATCAAATATATGCCCTGAAAACTGCATATGCAAGAGGGTTCTTTTACCTTGTTCTAATGCCAAAGCATTACATTATATAAAATTCAAGAGGACCAGTTAGAAAATTAAGGAAAGCAATAACAGTTCAAAATTAACTTCTTCACTGTAAGTATTCAAATTGTAAAAACCAATAGATATGGAAGTCAATGTTTTTGAAACGTGTCTGATTTAAATCAGTTGGTGCTCGATTAGCAGGGGCAATGAGGTCACAATAGCAAAATCACCAACTTTCTGTAACAGAAAGAAGATATTCCAAATTCAATAATCTAGTTCACCCTGTTCTTACTCCAGTTGCTCAAATAACCACAGATCCACTACCTGGAGTGGGTCTTGTGTCATCCTCCTCAACATAAATGGCAGTTAACTTTCTTCATCTTAAATGCACTTAGCAGGGCCGTTGGTAACTGGTAAGGCTGGAGACCAATTGTTGGCTGATCTAAAATTTCCTTTAGAAAGTCAAATCTAAAAACTTGAAAGGTCCTGGCCCAGATTCATTTGGGTCAAAGCCTGCATTTTTGTGTTTTTTATTGAATAAAAATAGCAAAGTTATACATATAAGACCTCCGGGGGACAATCACACAAGAGACTTGTTTCCGGACAATACATAGGGCATGTTTGGTATAAACTTGTTGGAGCTTTTGTTTTTTTTTTTTTTATACTGTTTATAAATGATAAATTTAAATTTTTATTGGAGAAAA